AAGATTCACAAATTCGCAAATGCAACAAGTATACCAAGCAAGTAGTGGTACACGGAAACACACACGCAAATAGATAAGTGGGGTTGTGCAAACCAAAAATGACTCAAAATGTGGAATCCACGAAAATGCTCTTGTTGCACAACACTAGAGAGACACTAGCACGATTGCACAAAAGGCGGATACGAGACTTGTGCACAACCTACTAAGAAAAAATGCAACGGCTTCTATCCCAAGTGTGCTATATGTATCGTATTCTGGTGATATGATCCAAGATGATCGAATATGACAATCTTAAAGTGGTATGATGCTATGGTTCTTGCTTATAAGCTCTTTGCTTATATTTTCCTTTTGCTTAAAAGCTTGTTTGTCTCTTTCTCTTTTGAGCTCTTTTCTCATGCAAAACTTCACAAACCAAGATAGCAATTGTGTATGCGATGATAACTTTGTGACACAAGAGATGATACGAAGATATGCACCACGATGGTATTGGTATGTATGCTATGGGAAGTATGATCACTAATGTGCACAAGTCACGTTGCCGACAATACTCAAAGGCTAGTCTCGATGGGTAAGCAACGCAAAAGTAAGGCTATGGTGGTTATCAATGCAATGGCAATGCAGAGACAAGGATGTCGTTGAGGTTACCGTCCTTAGCGACGATGAGTCCTCGGCGAAGATGAGCGGTGGTGATGTTGATGTCGCGTCGTACCTATATAGCCGAAACACAACAGGAGACGGGAACCACAACTCAAATTCTCAAAACCAAAGTCAAATGGTGGTATGGTGTGGTATGTCGTGGGGTTGGCGGAGTTTAGGTGGTGGTGGTCGAAGTGGGTATGCAAAAGGCATAGGTGGTGGTGGTCAAAAACTGCAGAAAATGCACTTTCGGCAGAGATAGCCGGATGATCCTGGCCAGGAGCCGCATGATCCGGGTCAGTGTCCGGATGATCCGGGTCAAGGTCCGATGATCCGGGCAGGTCAACTTTGCACGGGAATGGCTCGGGATGAACTCGAAAACGGGGAGAAATTCGAGGATTTCGTGGATTTTGGATGGATTTTGAGGGTGAGATGGTGGGGATTGGGGAAAGGCAAGATCCACTTGCAACACAATGAATTCGTGGATCAAAATCAACAAAACATCATCAAAACCAACAAATCACAAAAATATTGAGGGGGGGCTATTTTTGTGGGGATTTTGGAAATTGGGGACGAAATCAACAAAATTAGGCTAGAAAACTGGGGTAGGGGCTCCATATTCGTGATCAACGTGGCTCATGATACCAAGCTGATGTAGGGTGGAACCCTAGATGCCCGATCTTTCACGATTGGAGGGGATCCTACGAAGAACGCGAAGAACACGAGGGGGAAATCAAGGGGAATACGAGGGAAACACAAGAGAAATCACTCAGCCAACAAGAGATGGTCACACATATGCTAGATCCTCGAAACACAAAGATATACATGATCTGAATCCAGCAAGGGATGATACAAGTGGCAGTAGTTCTTCTCCGAGAGGAGGTCTTGAAGGTCTTCCTGTGATGGGGTCTTGAATCCGCTTGGGGGATCTTCTTCGAAGAGGCGCTCGACTCCGATGGAGAAGTAACCAAGTGGATGAGCAAAGCTCTATCTCAAATATGAGCTATGACAATGCTAACACTAGAAGAGAGAGGATTCGTATATATATAGGCAAAGGGGGCGAAGGGGTACATGGGCCTCAGCCCAACACAAGCACACAGGCGGGGGTCCAGATGATTTAGACGGGTAGACGGATGATCCGAGTCAGTGTCCGGATGATCCGGGGGATGGCCCGGATGAGTCGAAGGGGCAGGCAGCGGCGATGACGGTCCGGATGTCTGGAGGGGGGTCCGGATGTCCGGCTGGGGTCCGGATGATCCGGGTGCTCGTCCGGATGGTCCGGCTTCCTGGTCCAGCTTTGGGTGTCTTCGAGCACATTATCCGGATCGTCCGGACCGGGGTCCGGATCGTCCGGGCTCTGTCCGGGTCGTCCGGGACCTCGTCCGGATCATCCGGCCAGCCTGAGACTTGGCTGATTTTTTCTCATTCTTCACGCATTTCTTTTGCTTCTGATTCTCCCTGCTTCTTAGCTTCTCCATGGCTAACTCCTTGGTACCTGAGTATGCAAAGAGTCCCCATTTGAGGTAGTAGCCATGTCTCGTGTGATTCGAAAGGGAGTTGTGAGAGGAGTGATGTCACCTCGGTTTCGAGAGCTCTTCCACGTGCTCTTGTCATTGGTCCAAGTGGTGTTGTAGGAGATGTAGATGCGTCCATGGGGATGATCGTGGGATGCTCCGCATCAGTGAACCTCGGGATTAAATCCATGTTAGCTAGCCTTGTCATACAACCGAAATTTATGTGACAGACGTGAATGTCAAATCTCAGATTCATTCACATTAAAATGCATTTGGTTCACGACTTTATTACAGAAATCCTCTAGGGAAAGGCGGAACAAACCACCACAATCATATCATTTTCCAACAAATAGTCCATACCGAGATACGACTACTTTGTTGGACTCAAATGCTAACTTAAACCTTTCTTTACATAGAAGGGAGCCACTAACGAGATTCTTCTTGGCAGCGGGGACATGCTGCACGTTCTTCAGTTGCATGATCTTTTCTGAAGTAAACTTCAGATCTATCGTGCCAACACCATGAACAGAAGCATGTGAGCCATTCCCCATCAGGACGGAACAATCTCGTGCGACCTGGTAATAAGAAAACAAAGACACATCAGCACACACATGAATATTGGCCCCAGTGTCAACCCACCAATCGGTGGATTGACAAACTGAAAGTACGGTAAACAGATTACCATACCCAGATGCCCCATGATTGTTGCTTAGAGTGACGTTGACAAACTTGGGTCCTGTCCTGGCTTCTTGTACTTGTTTGGGCACTTGTTTGCCCAATGTTCCCCTGAACTACAAGTAAAGCAGCCATCTCTCCTTTTGTCTTTCTTCTTACCCTTCTTCTTAAAGATGGTATTCTGCTGGACAAAGTTCTTTCCCTTGAACTTGTTGAAATTCTTCTGTACCACATTGGTGCTAGAAGAATCCTCTGCCCCTTTCACGTGTGAGTCCTTTGCTCTCGAGTTTTGCTCAACACTTACATGGCCAATGACATCCTCTACAGAGAATTCACGTCTCAAGTGTTTGAGAGAAGTAGCAAAGTTCCTCCATGCAGGAGGGAGTTGTGCAATAATGCAACCCGCGGCAAACTTGTCCGATAACTCACACTTCAGGAGCTCCAGCTCCTTAGCGATGCACTGTATCTCATGGGCCTGGTCCAATACAGAACGGCTATCAACCATTTTGTAATCGTGGAACTGCTCCATAGCATACAGCTCGCTCCCAACATCGGTTGCGCCGAACTTAGCTTCGAGCGCATCCCACGAGTTGTTGGCAACACACATATGGAGATACGTGTCCACAAGCTTGTCACCGACCACAGTAAGAACGGCTCCCACAAAGATGGTGGTTGCCTCCTCCTGTTCAGGAGCAACTGTTACCATGGGAGACACACCATCAACCCAGAACACGTTCATTGTTGTGAACCACAAGGTGGTCCTGGTCTGCCAACGCTTAAAATGTGTCCCAGTAAACTTTTTCGGTTCTAGAGTAGCGATGAAGCCATGAGTCGAAAAATGCATAAAATAAGGTTTTTGGATTGTTGGAAATGTTAGCACTTTCCCGACTAATCTAATCCACGAGTAAATAATTAGCATGGCAAATATGGTATGCATCTCATACCGATACCTAAACATGTGAGCACGTATAGTACATAGAAACGAAACATCTATGAACAACGTATATACATCCAGCACATGAACGAGCGGATAGGGGATTAACTGAGTCATACCCTTCGGCTGGCCAGGCCAACGCGGCGGCGGTAGTAGCAGCCTCGGCATCAGCCAAGGCCTTCTTCTTGCCGACTTCGTTGTCGGACATGGAGTCGATGTAGAGGAAGTAGTGGAAGCAGAGGCGGACGAAGACTGGGACGGATCGGGAGCAGTCGTGTCGTGATGCTCCCCAAAAACCGTATTGCCGTTCTCCCGGGCAAGATCTCGAACGGCAGGGTTCCAGAGGCACCTGCTCTCCCGACCAACCGTGCACGCGGTCATCGGGATGGGATCGCCGGAAGCGAGGGTTCACTCCACTAGCCAGGGCCTTCTTATATAGCCCGTCGGATAGCGAACAGACCACGGTCCAACGTCTCGGACAGTGGCACTTCCGTAAGCGACTCGTTAATTAATCTGATATTAGTTAACCATTCCTGATCGACAATAAGCTTCGTCTCGGCTCATTCCCGCAACCCGCAGCACGTGTGCGTCGTGGCGAGGCGGACGGGCGGCGGAGGAGGAGCGTGCGTGTACAGCTTCTATTCCCAAGCTCCCAATAGCAAGTGGTAGAGCAGTCTTTATAAAGAGGTCTCACTCTTCCTACTGTAGCAGTATGGTACTAAACTTTCCACGCTTCCCACCACTTACGGTACACATACATGGCCTTAGAGATTAATCAAGGATTATTGTCTTATATAGGCCTAAGCCAAACGATAATCCATCATAAGGTTGGTGTCGGAAAATGATTTTAGGGCAGGAGCGAGAAGGTTTTTTGGGCATCAGAAAATTCAGATGATGTAAAACCGGTGCAAACTTTTAAACATGAGAGTACCGCCATCGAAAAAGCACCCAGCCTTTTTTTGCGGAAAGAAAAAAAAAGCACCCAGCCTAGTGTAGTATTACTATTACTATACCCTGAAAAAAATAGCACGCTATAATACCGTTAATAGCACGCAATAATATATTAAGAACTGTCTCGTTAAATAAATTAATGTACAATGCCTCGCTAATAGCACGTTATAGTGCGCTAATAGCATATTTTCAGGGCCACGCTATTTTTTGTACTAGTGCGCTATTTTTTTCATTGCTACTATAACATCCGCATTTGACCATTAGAGCTCGAATTTAATAAAGTTGGTGTATCACGCGGCCAACCGCGCCAGGGCCTCGCCGGCATGCTCCCCGGTGGACTGCCGGAGCCGGCGGTAGTCGTCGTAGCCGAATGTCCTGAAGAGGCGGTGGCTGCCGGCGCCGACAAAGGCGTCCGGCGCGCGGACCACGTCGTCTTTGGGCGCCAGCAAGAAGAGCGCGATGGAGACGCGCGGCACGGCCGCCACGCACTGCACGCGGTGCCTCACGTTGTGCAGCGCCCCGTTGCTCCACGCCTACGCTACACAGACAGACACACAAGAGACGAAGTCAAACGTGGGAGACGTAGGGAGGCCAGAAGATGGAGGCATCGCACTGTACTGTACCGTGGCGACGTCGCCGAGGTTGACGAGGAAGGTGCCTGGGACCGGGTCCACGGGCGCGAACTCGCCGGTGTCCGGGTCCGCCACCTCGAGGCCGCCGACGCGGTCGTCCTCGTGGAGCACCGTGAGGAAGCCGGAGTCCGTGTGGACCTGCACGCCGGTCTCCCCCACGGTGTCCGGCGTGTACTTGTACCTGTTGATGCGAAACTGGCACGGCCAGTCCTGGAACATGCGGTGCGACTCGGACTCCTCCAGGCCGAGGCTCGCGGCCAGCTTCGCCGCCACGTCCACGATTAGCTCGTGCGTCTTCTCCGCGTATCTCCTGATGGTCTCCCTGCACAAGAAGAACCTCCGGGCTCGGGGCAGATGACACAGGAAAGAAGCGGCAAGAAAGTCACCTGAACACGTACACGTACCTGATGTGCGGTGGCGCGTGGAGAGAGGCGCAGAAGGCGTCGACGTCGGCGCGGGAGGCGGCGTCGTAGAGGCCGAACGCCTCGTAGAGCGGGTTCGTGGCGGTTGGCGCGACGTAGCCGCTGCCGGAGATGACGTCGGCGTTGCAGCGCTTGGCGTCGTCGGGCAGGTCGAAGAGGGCGCGCACGGCGGCCTTCATGTCGTCCTGGAGCGCGCGCGGCACGCCGTGGCCTGCCACCCGGAAGCAGCCCAGGCGCTGGGCCGCGTCCCGCAGCCGCGCAGCCTCCTCCGGCGCCGCCGGGGCGAGCAGCAGGTCGATCACCGGGATCCCCGCCATTCTCTCCTTGCTGCTGTTCTGCCTGATATCGTGGCGGTTTTATGCACGAGATTTGTGTCTGTACGGGATCGGGGTGGCGGGGAGTGGGACCGCCTGGTGACTTCCAGCTGGGACTTGTCGGGAGCAAAACAAGAAAGGGTGAGATGAACTTGGACACGCAATTTCGAGATGACCTGAAATGAACACCGCCACGACTCTAGCTAGAGGAATCACATCATATCATGAATGTGCAATGTCTCTTTGTCTTCGCAACGTACAAAAACGAACTGACAATATAACTGAGACACTACGGAACTTGCAAACAGACAACACAAGATACATTGCAGGCGTAAAAGGCTTGGGACACACAACTTCTTTTCATGAGAATGACGAAGATCTGAACCGATCGTGGCGTTTTTCTTGATCTGAACCGAGCGCCAGGCAGGCAGGCAGGCAGAAGAGCGGCCTGGCTTTGGGTGCAGTGGATGTTGTGCATCGTCATGGATGGCTTTGTGCTACCTGCCGGCTCACTATTCATCCATCTTGGGCGTGGTAGCCAGATCTGGCGCGTGGTGACGGTGGACGTGTTCGCCGCGGTGGTCCGCTCCGGCCCAGTTCCGACATTGTGACGGCGGCTTCGACAGTGGCGGAGACAGGGGATCAGCAGGCCCTGGCCCCCCAACATCACTGATTTGGTACTAATATAGTAGCAATGAACAGTGCAGAATTTAGAGAATAATACATGCACTAGTGTAGTTTGGCCCTGTAATCCAAAGTATGTGTCATTTGGCCCCCTAATCTTTAATTCCTAACTCCGCCACTAGGCTTCGGAGGCGGGTCTGTTTCGTCCAGGCTAAGTCTGACAACAACCGTGCGCTTCTGATCAACTAGCTGTGCTCCTGCTCCGGCACTCCGTCCATGTCGGCTCCGGACAGAACTCTCTTCGACGAGGTGGTAGCGGAATGGTGGTGTTTTCCGCCATCGGTGTTTGGTCTTTATGGCAACCACTCCGGCCGACGGCAGCGGACTCACAACGGATTGCGGTGATCAGGTCTTCGTGAGGGCTCCTCTCTTCAGACCGATGGCTGAGTTCAAGGAGAGATGCAAACTTTGGACGATGACTTGACGCAGAGGGATGGTGGTGCAGCATGGCGGTGCACAACGCATGTACCTGCTGGGATCGGGGAAAGTGATGGCGCAACACATAAGTGATGTTGATGATGGTGCTACTCAAGCACCTGGTGAGGGAGTCCTGGATTAGGGGGTATCCGGACAGCCGGACTATATACGTCGTCCGGACTATTGAAGCGTGACGATACAAGACTCAAGACTCCGTCCCGTGTCTGGATGGGACTCTCCTTTGCGTGGAAGACAAACTTGGCGATCTGGATATTGTGTTTCCTTCCTTGTAACCGACTCCATGTAAACCCTATCCCTCTCCGGTGTCTATATAAACCGGAGAGGTTGGTCCTTAGAAGGCCGATCACAATTACAATCATAATCATCATAGGCTAGCTTCTAGGGTTTAGCCTCTACGATCTCGTGGTAGATCTACTCTTGTACTACTCATATCGTCAATATTAATCAAGCAGGAAGTAGGGTTTTACCTCCATCGAGAGGGCCCGAACCTGTGTAAACATTATGTCCCTTGCTTCCTGTTACCATCAGCCTAAGACACACAGATCGTGACCCCCTACCCGAGATCCGCCGGTTTTGACACCGACATTGGTGCTTTCATTGAGAGTTCCTCTATGTCATCGTTGCAAGGCTTGATGGCTCGTCTCGTTGTCAAGGACAACATTACCTTTGGGGGAGCGCTGGCTGTAGGCCAAACTCTCCGACTTGGCAGCTTCATCATGGCCGCCCCATCGGCTGTCGCCCCGACGATGGCCTCTCGGGTCATCACGCATAACCTTTGCATCAATTCAGAACTTGCCGAACAGATGGATTCGACGGAGCTCTCCTCCCTTAATGAGCTCTTGGATCACATCGCCGCTTTGGGAGTCGCTACGGACCATGATCGGATTGGGCTTAAACCCGACCAAAGGGACATTAAATCCTCACCGGCCACCCATGAGATAGCGATAGTGGAGGAACCGCACACGGATTACCCCTCAATTTTGAGGACGAATTATGTCTGGATCACCGATCTCCCTGAGCCGGACACCCGCCTGAGGGAAGACATGACCCGGATCCCGGACTTAGAATCGGGCATTGGGCCGGAGAAATTGGGCAGCACCCCGGATCCCGAGCTGTCAGGCTCGGAAGCTCCCATGCCCCTGGGTACTAGATCAGATCAGAAGCCGGATTCAGCTATTTCCACCCACACGGACTTAAACCGTCTCTCCCATATCAGGCAAGAGCTCCAGGAGACAGTACATCTTTACTGGGCCAGATTCCTCCTTCTGCTAAACAAGGTTAAGGACTGCCGCGAGGAGGACGTAGTCTCACTTTTCTGCAAAAACTGCACGAACAAAGGAATCCTTAATGCTATAAGTCGCCGTGACATAGTACACTTTGCAGACTTGGCAACCATAGTACAAAAGTACTGTGTGATGGAAAGCGCCTGGAAAACCCAAACAGAATTTTGGGATAGTCCGGCTCTCACCAAAAAATTTGTCCGAACTAAACGGGCGAACTCTTGTAAGTCGGCCGATCCAATCCCCAAGAAACCAAAGCCCACCCCAGGGCGGGGAACCGTATTGGAAGAATGGCTCAATGGGCCATGTAAGTTCCACAGTACTCCGGACACAACACCAACCCATAGCCTTAGGGCATGTTGGATACTCCGGCAGGTAGCAAAAAGTGGCGAGGATCTCCTTGTAAGCTGATGACCCAGTAGTATAGGGGATCTATCGTAGTCCTTTCGATAAGTAAGAGTGTCGAACCCAACAAGGAGCAGAAGGAAATGATGAGCGGTTTTCAGTAAGGTTTTCTCTGCAAGCACTGAAATAGTAGGTGATAGATAGTTTTGTGATAAGATAAATAGCAACGAGCAAAAAATAAATAAAGTAAATAAAGTGCAGCAAGGTGGCCCAATCCTTTATGTAGCAAAGAATAAGCCTGGACAAACTCTAATAATGAAGAAAGAGCTCCTGAGGACACATTGGGAATTATCGTCAAGCTAGTTTTCATCATGTTCGTAAGATTCGCGTTCGGTATTTTGATAATTTGATATGTGGGTGGACCGGCACTTGGGTACTCCCCTAACATGGACAAGCATCCCACTTATGATTAACCCCTATTGCAAGCATCCACAACTACAAAAAGGAGTATTAAGGTAAACCTAACCACAACATTAAACATATGGGTCCATATCAACCCCTAACGAAGCAACGCATAAACTAGGGTTTAAGCTTCTGTCACTCTAGCAACCCATCATCTACTTATTACTTCCCCATGCCTTCCTCTAGGCCCAAATAATGGTGAAGTGTCATGTAGTCGACATTCACATAACACCACTAGAGGAGAGACAACATACATCTCATCAAAATATCGAACGAATACCAAATTCACATGACTACTAATAGCAAGACTTCACCCATGTCCTCACAAACAAACGTAACTACTCACAAAGCATATTCATGTTCATAATCAGAGGGGTAATGATATGCATAAAGGATCTGAACATATGATCTTCCACCAAGTAAACCAAATAGCACCAACTACAAGGAGTAATCAACACTACTAGCAACCCACGGGTACGAATTTGTGGTTTGGATACAAGATTGGATACAAGAGATGAACTAGGATTTTGAGAGGAGATCGTGTTGGTGAAGATGTTGATGGAGATTGACCCCCTCTCGATGAGAGGATCATTGGTGATGACGTTGGTGATGATTTCCCCCTCCCGGAGGGAAGTGTCCCCGGCAGAACAGCTTCGCCAGAGCCCTAGATTGATTTCGCCAAGGTTCCGCCTCGTGGCGGCGGAGTTTCATCCCGTAAGCTTGCCCATGATTTTTTCCAGGACAAAACCCTTCATATAGCAGAAGATGGACGCCGGAAGCCCACCAGGGGGCCCAGGAGATAGGGGCGCGCCCTACGGGGAGGGGCGCCCCCCTGTCTCCTGGACAGGGTGTGGGACCCCTAGCCTATTTCTTTTGCCCAAAAATTCTTATTAAATCTGAAAAGTTGTTTCGTGGAGTCTCAGGTCTTTTGGAGTTGTGCAGAATAGGTTTCCAACGTTTGCTCCTTTTCCAGCCAGAATTCCAGCTGTCGGCATTCCCCCTCTTCATGGTAAACCTTGTAAAATAAGAGATAACAGCCATAAGTATTTGAGATATAATGTGTAGTAATAGCCCATAATGCAATAAATATTGATATAAAAGCATGATGCAAAATGGACGTATCAACTCTCCCAAGCTTAGACCTTGCTTGTCCTCAAGCGGAAGCCGAAATCGAAAAATATGACCACATGTTTAGAGATAGAGGTGTCGATAAAAATAAAATATGGACATGAGGGCATCATGATCATTCTAATAACAGCAACATATATGGATTTTGTCATATGATTTCTTACGTTCAAGTAATAAGCAATTCACAATGTCAAGTATGGTTCAAAAACTTCATTGGGAACTAACGAACTATAATCTCAGTCACTGAAGCAATTGCAATTTATCGTAACATCAGAAAGAGTCAATAATAGAGCTTTTCAACAAGCTCACATACTCAACTATCTCGTAGTCCCCTATAATTGTTAACACTCACGCAATACTTGTGGTTATAGAGTTTCGGCCGGACACTGAGAAATATAGGGGCTTATTGTGTTGCCTCCCAAGATATTCACCTTTAGGTGATGTCAACGATAATAGCCTATGCCAACTTACATCCAATTGGATATATGTATCATAATCTTTCAAACATGAGGAGCTTGCCAAAGGATAAAAATAAAAAGGGAAAGGTGAGTATCACCTTGACTCAAGCATAAAGTAAAAACATAAAGTAAAGGATAGGCCCTTCGCAGAGGGAAGCAGAGGTTGTCATGAGCGTTTAGGGTTGATGCACGAAGTCTTAATGCAAAA